AAAACTTGTGTACCTTGGCTGGATCTCGGTGTCATCTCTTCTGATTGGTTGGCTGTCAGACTGCTAACCCAGTCTGCTTCTTTCAGGCGAATGCGTTCGATGTATGTTCTGGAACAATCTGGGCTGCATTCACTTTGCAATGGGCAAACACAACTTGGGTATCTTCTACTTCAAAAAGGCTCTGCAGGAGAATGATCACACCTGTGCACAATTGGGAGACGGTAGCAACAATCAGTGTAAGTCCTGATACTGTTTTGTCCAGCCTGCTGATTTAAAATGTTTGAATGAAGAATTTTCATCTATATTAGATTAGCCGTCCGTTCACTGTGAACTGTTAAATGTTCCTTTTATGATCAGATTTAGAAAGTTGAGCTAAAGATGAATGCTATCTGCTCACAGGTCCTTCTGTTTCTTCCAACAGGTAAAAAGCTCACAGGTATCCCTATGTGTGCTCTACTGTCCAACAAGCGCTATGAGCTGTTGTATAACTGTGGCGTTCAGCTCTTGCATGCTTCCAGGCCCCTGGCAGCTTTTGAGTGCCTAATGGAGGCTGTACAGGTTTACCACTCCAACCCTCGACTGTGGCTGCGCCTCGCAGAATGCTGCATCTCTGCTAACAAAGGGGTAGGTTGTGACGTTGTCTTATAGTGATCGTAGTGCTGCTAGACTCTTAAAGTAAGGACAGGTTTAGAGAACTGGGAAGGATTCCTTCCACTGCTTCAATAAATCTTCAATAGGAAGGATTCCTTCCTACCACTCTTGCTTCAATAATTCTCACAGCATAAAAAAGGCAATTTCCAAACCTGTGGATACTTTCTTATGTAAAATATAATAATACCTTTTTCCCACTGGCTGAAAAACCTGTTTAAACCCGGGAAGAACCGGCTTTAAGTGGCAGTCAGAACAGCTCACTACCCGGGTCAAATGACTCGCGAGCGACCTGCATTCAAATCACACCTTTACTGCAGTAAAAAGCTTAAGTTGATCCTCTAACTTCTACAAAGTGTTTTTTAACAGTAGGATTTCTACTTCTTCTGGAGTAATTCATACTTTTGATACTTCTGACCACCTCAAGCGAGCACAAAAGCTTTGCCATTCCCATTTAGCTTTTCTCATGCAATACTTCTAAACGACTTTAAAAAAAAAAGACATTATGGGAAAACCTCTGCTGCGAGTGAATTAATAGTTTTCTGTTTATATTTCAGGGGTCGGAGCAGGAAAGCAAAAGCTTGCCCTGCAAAAAAGGAATCGTCCAGTCTGTAATTGGTCAAGGATACCATCGGAAGATTGTCCTAGCTTCCCAGTCTTCACAGAGCACTAACTACAGGTCAGTACGATGCCCAAAAGCTGCTTCCTCCAACTCTGGACCTGAAATGAAAGGACCAAAAAGATGGGCTTGGGTGAAAGCCCTACGAAGGATTGGTGCAAATGTGTCCAAATTCAAAGCGGACCTACATGTTATGCTGACTAAGGATGAAGTGGGGAATGATCTTAGCAGGTTTGAAGGTGGCTCTTAAAGAAGTCATCTTATTTTAGCCCTAAAAAGACTCTTTCTGTGGTCCTTCCTCCAGCAGCAGTACCAGCCAGCTGATGCATTCTCTCCCTGCACTGTCTGCTCCCAGCATGCTTCTCTGATTGGCTGCTTTCCTTCCATCTCCTGCAGTTAGCCTAGAGGCCAGCCTCGGTCAGCAGTAGCCTCTGCCTGGCGGCTGTAACCTCTTCCCACCCTGGCGCAGAGCTAATTCTTTCTTATATCTGCCCTTGTGTTTTGGTAGAATGTCCTCTTGGTATTCATAAACATTGTGATTTATCCCATGTTTAAAATCAAAATCTACAGAGAGAACGTCAACGTCTGTGGTTGCTAAGCAAATGTTTACCCCCAAGATGGCAGCGGTCGTTGCTAGGCTCTCACTCGCATGTGTGACATCAGCGGAAAGCTATCTAAAGGGTTCGGCATCAATTCAAATTTAGGGTCTGATTCCTTTTTTGGATTCCAGTTCGAAACGATTCTCTATTTCCATTTTTTTTATTTTTTATTTTTTTAAGAGAATCGTGTGGGGAGTGTTGGCCTAGTGATTAGAGCAGTGCACTTGTGATCTGAAAAGTAAGTTCCTGGTTTGATCCCCACTGCCTCCACTTTGGGTTCCTGAGCAAAATCTTTAACCCCACACTGCTCCCCAGGCGCCGCACCATGGCAGCTCACTGCTCCCCAAGGGCAGGGGTTAAATGCAGAGAGTAAATTTCCCCATTGCGTGACAATACATGGATTTTTTTTTTCTTTTTTACATTTACATAAATGTTTACATTATAAAATAACTTGTTAACCAGAGTTCTTTCTGGATGAAATAGTCTGATCTTCTCCATGATTTAATTCCTTCATCAATTAACTTTGTTACTATATTTTTAACATAGTCATTTTCTACAAGTGTATAAATGTATAAACTCTAATATAATTAATATTGGTATAATATAATTAATAGAATTGTTTTCGGAGTATTTTATTTTCATATGGAACTTTATTGTTTAAATGTTCATTTAAACACATTTGAATGCATCCGTTTCCTGATGATCGTTTACTTCTTTTGTTTCCCCTGATTCTGACTGTGGTTTGCTGCTAAACAGGAAGGCATCATGACTCGGTTTATATACTCCTGTGTGTTTTTTCCCAAAATATCTTTTTTAGAAAGTAACAGTTTAAACAAAACATCTTGAACAGAATGCAAAGTGTGACGGCAACAGTAGTAGTATTACATTTCAAGTCGAAATAAAATGCAAACGAAATGCCTCTCACAATCCTGGTCCTAATGATCATATATTCCACATATCCTCTTTATATTGACTTTTAAGTTTAACAGCATATATATACTCAAATAAAATTGTCTTTGGGAACTGCATTTACATGTTCTTCACTCACTTGTTGAAATTCTTGACATACCTTAAGAAGGAATCCCAGATAAACTCAAACAGATCCCATTTGACCTTTATTATATACGTCATTTTTTCCAAAGGGGGGGCAGATAACATCCGTTGGTTTATGGTCGGTCCATGAGTGTTTTCCAGAACATTGATATAAATCTTTTCACATCTCCTGTGTGTTTTTACTGTGGTAGGGATGCTTTACATTTTATGGACGATTAGATTTCTCACTCAGTTGGTGGGTTTTTTCATATGACACTGATTCCAAATAAACAATGTATAGTTTTATTTTGTCATTATGTAAACACAAGTGTTTTTCATTTTGTATCTGTTAGGACGTAGGTTAAGGGGAAAGGAGTATAAAAAAAGGCTCTACTCACATGATAGAACCTGCAGGTGCTGCTACCTGCAGAAGCTGCACTAACTTAGAGAGGAATAACTTCCTCTTAGGGAGCCTTGGTTAGCGGGTCAAAGATGAGGCTTTCCTGCTGAGTCTAGTGGTGATTAATCATTTCAGTCGTATTCCGTCCTTTGCATCATTTAATCCCATCACCAGTGTCGCAGGCAGCCGACTGCTCATTTCTTTAACTTTACACTTCTTCTACACAGAGTGTATACAAACTGAAATGTTGTTTTGTTCAGCTTTCATGACATTTCCATGTTGTAAAGTGCAGCAGTTATCAAATGTAAACAGTGTGGGAGGAAAAAAAACGGTGCAAAAAAACTGCTACACTTAAGCTACATGACAGCACACGTAGTGGTGTACTTCTTTGCTGGCATTTGGCAGCTTCTGTTTCCGCTCTGAGCATCGAAACTAGGAATTAATAATAAATAAAAAAAATTCTGAGAGAATTGAAAAGTTGGAACTGATTCTGACAGATTCTCAATGCCCAACCCAAGCAGTAAGCTGAAGTTCTGATGTTTGGCCTGTCGTAATACCCATACATGCTTCACTCTTATTGATGCTTTCCTCTGCTGATGTCTTTGCTTAGTGAAGGCCAGTCAGCAGCCATTCCTGTAGCAAGTATGGAGTTTGCTGCCATCTGTCTGAGGAATGCTCTCCTACTGCTGCCTGAACACCAGCAGCAGGACGCCAAGGCTGAGAACGGCTCCAAGAACTCCAGTCAGTCAGGAAGCACAGAGAGCAGCAGCGAGAACAGCGACCCCTGCAGGTCAGAAAAACCTCCTTTTCCATCACACCTGTAGCACCGTGCTAAGACTTTATAGGGTTTTATAGGAATTATTTTTCAGAATATTATCACTTCTATTATCCTCATAAATTTTTTCATGTAGATTATTTTTACTTTACATTAGGGCTGAAACAATTAATTGTGATTAAGCAATTATTGAAATAATTGTCAACTAATTTAGTGATCGATTAATCGTAAAATGATGTATAGAGACTCTAAAAGGTGTCTTTAGCTGACAGAGCTACTCACTTAGAGCAGTAATTAGACCAAGATTGTAAAATATATGTTAACATTTTGTATTTAAGATATAAAAACTTTTTCATCTGTCAATATGCTCAATTCACACTGCCAAAGCCATCTACAAATGGGTTAAAAAAAATAAACAAATTAAGTGTATTTACCCTTAATTTGAGTTAATAAAGTATAAGTAAATAAGATGATTTGCCAATTCCATCAATTAGATAATTTGATAACATGCACTTTTTTTAAAAATCTTAAATGTAAATTGTGTTGTTCCATTGGAAAAGTGTCTCACTTCATTTTTTCTTGAATTGAGGAATTGCCTCCTCAATTCAAGAATAAATGCACTTAATTTCAGCGAAAAAATAAACATTTTTGCAGTGCAGAACTCCTTAAGTTTAAAAGTTTTAATTTCACCTGGCTTAATTTCATTTAAAAAAACTTTAAGGAACCTTTGGCTATCTGATTATTAATGGAAAAATAATCGACAGAAATTTGCAAAATAATCGTTAGTTGCAGGTCTACATTCCTTTTTAAACAGAGCTTTGCTTGAAGGGAGCGGTGAGCTGAAAAAATAAATGCACATATTTATGTGCATTTATTTATTTCATCATCTTTGAACTTGTGATTAAAGGTTATGAAACAGTTGTGAACATTTCAGCTGTTGCTACGTGCACACTTGGAATGAGGGGGTTATCTGCCCATCAGGCAGATAGTTTTCAGCAGACATGTCTTCAAGTCTTTCTGGGGAAGAACTTCAACCAAACCAACAACAGAACACTGGCAGACATACTGCTTAAATAGAAGTGGAACTAAATTGGAAGAAACCATTATAAAGAATATTTGTTTTAATGAAGCAATGAATTTACAAATCAAGACAAAACAGAAATATATCGTAATGCATAAAAATATCACTCGATGCTCTGATGCGATCTACCTGCTCAGACTCTACTCGCTCCGCAGTGAGATGGCGCTACTTGGACTCATCTATCCGGAAGCCAAATTAGTAGAAGAGGAATATGAAGCTCACTAGAGTGAAACGCGCTGCCTTGGCTATTTGGGCAGTTTGGCGCTGAAAGCACTAAAAAGAAAAGGAGACGACGTATTTGAAAAAAAGACATGGCTGAGCAAACGTGGCTACTAACGTCTGTCAATTTTACAGAAAGAACTCCATTTCACTCGCTGCCTGCCATGCTTCTGAGGAAGAAGAATCCTTGTTTGCCCAATGAGTGATTTGCCCACGACCGCCTCACCAAAGTCGACTGAATTTAAAACATGATTAATTTTCTCCCAACCTTACGATTCCTGATCAGGAGGTGATCATGATCCCCCCCCCCCACCAGGCTGAAAGCGGCCTGATCGAAAAATTCTTGCACAACTGGAGAATCGGCCCAAAAAGGGCTAAAAATTGTACTGTGTATGCCCGGCATTAAGTAGGGTTAAGCAATTGATGAAAACATTGTAAAGTGAAATCAATTTACCTTTTTACACAAAAAGAAACCAAGATGAGGCCTACTAAAGGAGCCACACCCCAAGCATTCAAAACAACCTAAATAAACCAAACTGCAAAACCAGATGCTGTGTTGAACAGGTATCTTCAACAAATGTACAGGTAACAACGGCTCATTGTCGTAGAGAGATTGCTGCAAAGTCACCAAACTATTATGGGAAGCATCCAGGTATAGGCAACTAGCCCGCACTATTTGGACAAGCACTTACATTAGGAAACTTATGTTTTGGTGTTACAATAAGCCCCTGATGCTTACTGAGGAGGTAATCCATCCCTTTCACTCAGGGGAGTGGTGGCCTAGTGGTTAGGGCATTGCGCTTGGAATCCAGATGTTCTGAATTCAAACCCCACTCCCACGGACTGCCACTCTGGGTTCTCTGGACAAAGACCCTTAATCCCCACACTGCTCCCTAGGTGCTGCACAATGGGAGCCCACTGCTCTCTAAAGGGATGTCTCAAATGCAGAGAGTTCATTTCGTTGCTCTGTACTTGTGACAATGTAATGACAATAAAAAAAGGTGTGGAAGCAAATACATGTCTAAAAGATGGGACCTCCAGGACCTGATGTGACCTCATCTCCACAGGGATTGCTGATTGGATGTGAATGTTTATTTACTCTGACAAATCCTTGTTTTCTCTTTTTCCAGTGGAAAAAATCATGACGTTGATAAGTTTTTTTCTGCGCCTCCATCCTCTCCACTCAGAAAACAGGAGGTAGAAAACCTCAGGTAACGACACTGACCCATTAACGATGTCAAGGGTCCTGGTTTGAATGGTTCTAACTGCTGTTGGTGTGTAGGTGTTCCATCCTGGCCTGTAGCGCCTATGTGGCCCTGGCACTGGGAGACAACCTGATGGCTCTGCACCATGCTGAGAAACTGCTTCATCAAACCAAGGTGTCTGGGTCCCTGAAGTAAGTCCTTCATTTGTTGTTTATAAGCAGTTCAGAATTGACTGTGTTTCCATCTAGAATAAAGCTGTCAAGATAAAAAGAAACTATTCGGACGGTGTCAATGCCATCAGGACAAACTGGTTGGTCTTGGAAGTCAGAAATGTGTGTTTTGATATCGGGCTTCAAGTAAAACCTGCAGGAAAAGACCTTTTAGATTATTATTTTTGTTTAAATAACCAGAGGGTTTTGAAACTAAGCAGTCTAGTGTCTAGTGAGCTATGGGTCAGTTTTGTACAGGTTATTAGCACGCTGAAGCACACTGGCACACGTCGAGATACGGCAAGTACGTCCTGCAGAATGCCAGCGTATGCTCATATGTGGGCCATAAGTTCCAGGTCAGTTATCTGATGGTTGACATACGTTAAGTGTCAGGTACTCATAAGTCGACACATCTAGCTTATCCGTAACATATAAGTAACTTGTGCATAACGTTTGCGTAACTTATCAAGAACTTTACTCCAAAGCATATCAACGTATCTGACGTGTTCCAGACGAGCGCTGAACGTGTTTCTAACTTCCAGCTACTGTATAATGGGGTATTGGCTGCGTTTTGGTATAAAGGAGGTTCACAGGAGGAAACTGTCAGTTCTCCTCCAGACTTCATTGTGAGCAGACGTTCCACAAGAGATGGAGGATCCAGCAAGGCTGGGCGCATTGCTGCCCCCCACTAGACACTGGCTTGTACATCATTTTATGGGCATTACACTGTCGAGTGTTATGCATAAGTTAGGCTGTCGTTGGACATACGATCTGGACTTGCTATGAATACGCTATGTATACAAAATAGAAAAAATACATGAATCTTCTTTAAGAAGATTCTGGGACATCAGGCATAAGCTGGCTATATAGTAAATGTGTGACAGGGGCTTAAACCAAGCAAATACAAAGGGATGCCATTTGACACGTTGTATCCTCTTTATTCAGGTTCCTGGGTCATCTGTATGCTGCTGAAGCCCTAATCTCTTTGGACAGAATATCTGACGCGATCACTCACCTAAACCCAGAGAACATCAGTGACGTGTTAATGGGGGTGCTCACCAGCGAACAGGACCAGGGTGGGTGTGCTTTTCATCTTCATTATCTTTGCTGAAATTACAGTTTTCTTTCTGCTTTATACACGGTTATTATTTTTTAACAGGACATGAGAAGGGAGATGAACCTGTCGAACCCTGTAAGTTGTCATCATAACAGATGATCAGAAGTTTGCCTAATTTAAAACAGACAGAAATGTGTAGATGAACATAACAACAAAGCTTCTTGGTTCCCTGTGTTTGCAGCGGTGAAAAAGATGCCATTATGTTACCCCAGCAGCGTGACAGCAGCTCGGGCCATGATGCTCTTCAACCTGGGCAGTGCCTATTGTTTGAGGAGCGAATATGACAAGGCGCGCAAATGCCTGCATCAGGTACCTTCTATTCTTTATACGTTTAGCTTCCATCTTATTTCCATCAACTAATTAAACAGAAAAAATACAGTTAAAGGTATAGAGGAAGATATTTTATTTCCGGGTGGATCATCTTAATAACTGGTCCTCCTAATTGTCAATCATTCTGGTGATACGTTTACGTAAGGTCGTCCTACGTGCTCATGCCATTAGCTAGCTTTTTCTGCGCATGCGCTCTTTCAGGCATATATCAGTGGTGACCTACGGTTTCAGACAGTCATTGAAGCTCACCTTTCTCACCGCAGTTCTTTGAAAATGGCCGAGGGTCGTAAGAAAAAGTGTCTACAAGGCGTATGAGAAGGTTGGGGGGGGCCTGCGCCTGCCTCTGACATTAACACCATATGATTGGCTGAACGTTGCCACATGATGTAAAACAACGTGGTTTTCCAGGCATATATGTTTGGTGGAAAAAGTAACTGCAGGACCGTGATATAAAGGACAGGGCTGGGAGGCACTGTAGCTGTGCTCTGTAGCTAACAGGTTAGCCTCTTTTAGCTCGGTCAGTTAGCCACATTAAGTTGCACTACTTGTCAACAACAGCCGTTCATTTTCTATAATGTAGAATAACAGCTGTTTTCTTTATTTAAAATCTCCATGAATCCATTGTTTAAGATGTTCCTTTTGTCCTCTCCTGCTCTCGGATCTTAATAAAAGAAGAAGAAGCACTGAGGTTTTTTGCGTCACTTTGTTTAATGGCAGATCTCAGTCTGTTTTAGAATGAGTGAGAATTTAAAGTAATTTCTCCTTGATGCAGTTGCTAAGAACAACCATTCATGCCCATTTTATCAGGGAGCAATCTGGATTTTATAATGTTGGTTCTGAAGCTCGTCGTTCAGTCCTTCGTGGGCCGACATCAGCGTTGTGAACGTCTGTGTTGCAGCAACATTAGTTGGGATGAGATGCTTTTTAACACCCTCAGTGTGCAACAGATTTATAGGTGTTCAAGAAACGGCAAATACAAAAAGGTTCCCGCTTGGAATTCAGTATAAAAGAAATTAAATTAATAAGAATGATTAGTTAAAGTCTCAGCCCTAGTATGACACTAAAGAATGTCTTTATTGCTGTTAATGCATATTTTACCAACAGGTATTATTTGCTAGACAACAAATGATCAATTATTTCTCCACAAACTTTGTTCTTTTTTGTTTCTAATCAGGCTGCATCCATGATGAGCTCCAAGGAGATTCCACCTGAAGCCATCCTGTTGGGGGTGTACTTGGAGCTACAAAATGGTTTGTTTTTCTTAAAGCCATCTGATTTCTGTTTAAATCAGGTTTTCTCACTTCAAGAGTGGATAACAGGTGGCAACATTAATCTCCAATTAGATTTTTTTTTTGTTTTTCCATGCCCTGTGCATAAAGAGAAGCTCCTGCTACGCATACAACACATCCCGATCTCTGCAGATCTTTTTTACTTTTTTCAAATTGAAACAAGGTCCTACATTTGACTTGGAAAAACAAAACAGAATACAAAGCAAAGCCCCACTTCATAACCATCCAACACAGCTTAAACCAGAACAGAGGGAGGATTTTGATATAAAAAAGGGTAGAAACTAAGAAACTATGTTTAAAGAAAAGAAAAACATGGCTACCAAGGCTGTATTTATAGGCATGAGGCAGTGAGAGGTGAGAGTGAGCTGAGAATGTGCTGGTGAAGATTCTCAGTCATCCAGGTCAGTCATTCCAAAAAGTAAAAAAAAAAAAATCCATTGGACTTTGTTTCCAAGCTTAAAGACGTTTCACTTCCCATCCAGGAATCCTTTTTAATTAGGCTGTATAGCGAAACAACTTTGTTACCGTATTTTCACGACCATAAGGCGCACCGTAGTGTCTAGTGAGTTATGGGTCAGTTTGGTACAGGTTATGAGTACGCTGAAGCACACTGGCACATGTCCAAGAATGCAGAATGCCAGCGTATGCTCATATGTGGGCCATAAGTTCCAGGTCAGTTATCTGATGGTTGACATACGTTAAGTGTCAGTTGCTCATAAGTCATGGCGTCTAGCTTATCCTAAACATATAAGTAACTTGTGTATAATGTCTGCGTAACTTATCCAGAACTTCTCTCCAATGCATATCAGCGTATCTGACGTGTTCCAGGCGAGCGCTGAACGTGTTTCTAACTTCCAGCTACTGTATAATGGCGTATTGGCAGCATTTTGGTATAAAGGAGGTTCACAGGAGGAAACTGTCAGTTCTCCTCCAGACTTCATGGTGAGCAGACGTTCCACAAGAAATGGAGGATCCAGCAAGGCCAGGCGCATTGCTGCCCCCTACTGGACACTGGCTTGTGCATCATTTCATGGGCATTACACTGTCGAGTGTTATGCATAAGTTAGGCTGTCGTTGGACATACGATCTGGACTTGTTATGAAACACTATGTATAAAAAAATAGAAAAAATACATAGAGTTCAGCATATGCCAGCGTTTCAGAAGATTCTGGGACATCAGGAATAAGCTGGCTAAATGTGTGACATCGGCTTAAACCAAGCAAATAGAAAGGGATACCATTTGACACGTTGTATTCCACCTCTTTATTCAGGTTCCTGGGTCATCTGTATGCTGCTGAAGCACATTTATATACCGGTACATGTCCTCTACTATGTTTAAATACCTCTACTGCGTATTTAAAAATAGAGTGGGAGCAAAACTGTGTATGATTGTGCTTTATTCATGTATTTATTACAAAGTATTAATCAAACCTGGGAGCCTGCCGTGAGACAGACACATCGCTGATGACACAGAGCGCTATGATCACACCTCTGAAACAGTTTATTGACGCATAAATTAACTTAAAAAGCAGAAATCTGCCGGCAGAATATGTTCGCTTTTATTATCCTGGTACCTGCAGTTTAGATTATTTAGATGAAAACCATCTACCAGCTGCTGCGGTGAACCGCGAGGAGGCGACCCAGCCAGAGGCTGCTGTTGAATGGGATCCTACTGTCTGCGCACCGCTGGTATGTGGGGGTCTGAGCGGCTCCGACAGAACTAATATTGGAAGGCAGGATGATAATCTGGATGAACTGATCGCACTGATTAAGTTTTCAGGTGGATTTTCTCACTTGAAAACATATTAAAACTACTTTATTCCCACTGATCACAGCAAATATAGCTGCAAGGCA